CCAAAACCTACCCTTCTGAAGTGTTGCTCCACTCCCTTGTCACAGATCCACCTGTGAAAACGTGCCTAAAGTTAGTACTGGGATTTGCCCCGCTCCTAACTGGTTCAGGCTAAAATCTGGCGAGATCCCAGTTAACCCGGGAGGGTACAATAGCTTATTTTATACTGCAAAGCTGCTGTGCAGACTTTGTCCAAAGAATGTTGCACGCTTTACTTTGACAATCCCCGCAGAAAAGAGAGAGCGAGCGCGAGGAAACAAAGACTTATGATTACCATTAGTAATTTAATCCTAAATTCGTGGGCCATTCCCACCAGCCCGAACAAGCAAACATCAACAGTTTTCTTTCTCATGCACATGTATCTGCGATAGATGATTAACCAGGTCCCTGGCTGCTTACACAGGGGAAAAAAATCCTGACGAACAGTGCGGTGTCTGCTTGCAGTTTGGGAAATTAAAAATCAAGCGAGGGGAGGTGAGAATTAGGAAAGTGGTGCCCTTTCCCTCCATCAGTGCCGGCTGCCAGCCAGGAGTGATTTCGGTTTGGGTGTTTGCTTGTTAACAAAACTCCCATTTCAGACAATATATCCCACTAATGCTGTGGGGTGAAAAAGCTAATTCTGGGGGAAAAGTAGCAGTCAGCTACCAAAAACGAGGAGCGCTTCTCAGGGAACCAGTAGCGTGGAAAATACATATATAACAGTCTTCCTATTTTTTTATCAGTTACCCAGACCTGCTGTTTCTAGGAATTGGGCATTGGGATGCCACCGTAATACGATTCCCTTTCTAAATGTCACCCCCCCGATTCAGGCAGAAGCCCTACCAAACCAAACCCGTATAGGTATCTATATGCTCCAGTTTTAAGGGCGAGCTTTCAAATTTCAGTGGCTCAAGGACCCCCACTGCCCTGCCCTGGGCGGACACGCCGGATGGAGCTGATCTGAAATGACTCTACCATTTTCTTTGAACTCTTCCCGATTTTGGTCGGGAGTTTGCGAAAGGGAGGGGGGAGACGAGGGAGAGCGGGAAGAAGTCATTCTTTACTCGAAACTAACCGTCAAAAAACGGATCTTAAAAAATAGAAAGGGGAAAAAAAAATTAAAGCCGCTCGATTAGCAGCTTTCGGGTGGAGGGAGAAGGTCGCAATTAAACAAAAATTGCTCGGAAGGCTTGGGGGGGAGGCGAGCTGTGCCCCGGCGCCGCGATGCCGGGCAGGGGTGTGCCTTTTCCCCCCCAACGGCGGTACTTCT